CAGCGTTTACTAAAAGCTAGCAGAAACCAAACGCTGCAAATACACAACGCTGAACAAGCTGAAAAAACACAACGGAGACCAGGGGACACTAAAGAGTGACGCACACAGCTGGGAGACCAGGGGACACTAAAGAGTGACGCACACAGCTGGGAGACCAGGGGACACTAAAGAGTGACGCACACAGCTGGGAGACCAGGGGACACTAAAGAGTGACGCACACAGCTGGGAGACCAGGGGACACTAAAGAGTGACGCACACAGCTGGGAGACCAGGGGACACTAAAGAGTGACGCACACAGCTGGGAGACCAGGGGACACTAAAGAGTGACGCACACAGCTGGGAGACCAGGGGACACTAAAGAGTGCAGCTGGGACCGGAGTGCTTGGTGACGTTCAGGATTATAAAGCTGGTGACGTTCCGATCACATTGTTAAAAATAATCCTAAATCTTGGGTACGTTTCCAGTGACACTCTCTGCTGGTTTTCTGCTGGTTGAGTTCTGAGCTTCATGCAGTGTTTTTTTGCACCTGTCGTCCAGCGTATTATTAGGCATCACATCTCCAAAAAGTAAACTCCTCAAACCCAAATGATTCCTAAATCTCATTAACCAATCCCTCCCTCTCTCCTCCCTCCCAGGGCCCCCCCGGCTCCTTCGACTTCCTCCTGCTGATGATGGCCGACATCCGTAACGACATCATCGAGCTGCAGGAGAAGGTGTTCGGGGAGCGGAAGGGCATCGCTCCTGATAACCCAACACACTCCGGCGGGGAAATGGACTTTGTGGAGTGGGGCTCCGGACAAGGAGACCTCCTGCTGAGCACCTGAACCCAGACATGAGAAACAAAGACTCTTTGGGAGGGAGACATGGTTTCTCTCTGAACTCTGACACAGACAGTGCAACTGAGAAGAAGAAGTGACTCTCTGAACCACTCCTTTTGTTACCTTCTCTAAAGCCGGTATCTCGGCACCGAAACCGTAGTTTCGAATACACACCGGTGAGTTCTGACTTGGCTCGTTGTCAGCCGGTAACCAGCTGCCCAGACACTTTGAGGGGAAAAAGATGAACGGGACGTTCGGGTGCCGTGGGAAGAACCTCCGTTTATCAACGTCCTTCACAGTTAAACTGCCACTGCATTAAATTCAACTAAGCACGGACACTTTTCCTTTCCTCACCACTTTCTCTATCCTTTCGTCTCTCTCTTCATACGTCCTCACTTCGCCTTGGCCATCACTTTTCATACACACACAGACTCCAAAGCCCACAACCCCTTGCGGCTGCTACTCAACACTTTAATTTGAGAGTGAGGGGAGTGTGTGAAGGGAGTGTGTGAGGATTGAGGGGAGTGTGTGTGCAGGACACAGAGCGAGGAAGATGTGTCTTTTTGTCTGAACCACTTCAAACTATGAACTTTATCGTCTGCACCCCTTCCTCTTCCTGAGTCTGCAGCCAATGGGAGCTCTGCTGCAGAAGCCTGAGCTCTGCAGCTTCCCTGAGGCGTCTTCAGGAGCTCATTCAGGAGATGTATGAGTATTTAAATCCCAATCCTGTTCGACAAACTCAGAAAAACTCAGAAATGCTTGAAGTATTTTTTTGTATAACTCGAGTCCAAGTATCATAAAACATTTAGCACAAAGTGTGTTCATATATTTAATTAAAGAGAGAATGTAAATATGTAAGACTTCCAATATTTTAGACATTTCAAAGAGTAGAAGCTGCTTCTCAATCAGAGGAAATATGAAATGTGCACCCTTCCAACCAAAACACAGGCGTGGTGAGCGCGAATATATTCTGAATTATGGCCTGAAGGAAACCGATTCAGAGTGAAGAGGGTTCCACATGTCGTACTGTGAAGCACTCAGGGCTGACCCACTGCTCAATAAAGGTTTTTCTGAATCTAAATGTAAACTGTATACATGTTGATGTTTTATCAGTGGTTCGTCCAATAGCAAAGACCTCATCAACACACTTCTCACAAAGAAGGGCCAAAGGTGAGTGCAGCAAAAACACAACACCAAAATAAAGCAAACATGGCCATAAACAAACTAAATAAAGGAACCGTTTTTTTTATATATGAAGAGAGTATGAGGAGAAAATACTGTTCTCTGTCCGTTTAATAATTATGAAACTACCACAAGCTGCCGGTTAGCTTAGCTTAGCATGAACACTTGAAAAAGGGGTGGATGTTTCCAGTCTTAATGCTAACTTGAAGCTAAGCTAACCTAATGCTGGGGTTGATATGCCTTCAGAGTTATTCTCAATGTCGTGTGAAAAGCTGGAGCTGAAAGTGTTGCTTAATACATAGAGAATAGACCGGACACAGGGCTTGCCTGTCTTTGTCAAAAAGTCATACAGTCTAACTCTAAAGACCCCTTTTAAAAGCTTTTGTAAGTATTAAACTTATAAGATACAATACGTCAATTAGTGAGCTTCGATCTGTGGCCAAAATTCAGCTAGAAGAGTGACAGCACCTCAAGAAAAGCCAATTAGGAGCCTGCCCAGTTATTCTCTGACCTTCATTGCTGTGACACCAGCTTGTTGGCTATTACAAATATCATAAAGCCGTCGATAAAACCCTCATAACTCCTTCAGTGTTTGTCAATTAGACCTGCTGCTTTTACGTCTTGAAGGACATTTTAATGTTGGATAAAGAAAGAAAGACAAGATCTGGCTATAATGATCCTGCACCCAGATCATTTTACCTTTAATGCCATAAGCAGAACAAGAGACTCATCAGAAGAGCAGAGTAATGTTTGAGTGGAAAGTAGATGCACTCCTCTCCTCCTCTCTTAAGAGCACTGTTGGTGCTACATCTTGGACAGATAAACGTTTAAAGCTCATGATTTCCTGCTAAGAAATCACATGTTCTCACTCCTGCTCCCTGAAGTGAAGCCGCTCCACCAGCAGAGGGCGCTACATCACAGTTTATCTCCACTGCAGCTGAGGCGAGGAAACCAAAGTAGGTTTTCACAGTTTAATATGTATAACAACCAACCTCTCAAAAGGACTCGTACTTTCCCGAGAACGCAGTGTGAAGTCCGTTCATCATCCCGGTGGAGCTTCTGCCCCCGGATCATTATCCTCTGGTGAACTGTAGCGTGGCTGAGTGTCATTACAGAGGTGTGAGGAGCAGAGGTCAGAGGTCAAATGAACAGCTGGAGGGATGATTATAGACCACAGGCTGTCAGAGGGCCTGTCACAGCTCGAAGTCTGAAGAATAACACACACACACAAACACACACACACACACAAACACACACACACACACACACACACACACACACACACACACCATTTGATCTGTTCACCCTGTCTGGCCCTTCTCTGCGTCTGATCCTTTGATCCTGCAGATCTCAGTTAATTCTGCCCGGCTACTGTGTGTGTGTGTGTGTGTGTGTGTGTGTGTGTGTGTGTGTGTGTGTGTGTGTGTGTGTGTGTGTGTGTGTGTGTGCATGTGTGTGTCTTTTTACCAATAAATCCATGAATAGATAGATACTGATTATGTGTGTATGCGTATTGCCTGTCAGTGTTTAAGAAGAAGAAGAAGTTGTGTTGTGTTTACACACATTACACAAACACGGAGGATATACATGCACACACACAACCACATGCAGATAGAAGAGGTGGCAGAGCAGAGAGGCTGCCAGGTACCCGGCGCCAAGGGAGCAGTTTCGAGGTTGGGTACCTTGATCAAGGGCACCTCGGCAGTGGCCTTGGAGGTGAACTGGCACCTCTCCAGCTATCTCCATCTTTTTTTTGTGTTGATCCGATCGGGAAGTGAAGTCCCGACAGTCTGAGCCACTGCCCTATCTCTATCTATGTGTGTGTGTGTGTGTGTGTGTGTGTGTGTGTGTGTGTGTGTGTGTGTGTGTGTGTGTGTGTGTGTGTGTGTGTGTGTGTGTGTGTGTGTGTGTGTGTGT